CGCTGCCCTTGGTCTGACACAAGCAGGAGAGCATAAGCCAGCTCACAGGGAACAAACAGGAGGAGATACAGCAGCAAAACAACGCCAAAGATGCAGAACCCTCAAACTCTCAGGGCCACAGCCAGATGCTGAGACTCTTCAAAGAGAGTCCAGCATTCTGGGTTCAGCCTTGCTTCATACAGTCTATTTTCATTTTTCCAGCTTAGCTAATAACCACCGGATGGATTTCACTGCATTTGTTTTACCCTCCTGCCTCCCGGGTTCCCCACAGGACATTCCAGCCATGCCAGCAGCACGGTTGCCCTCCGCAGAGAGCATCGCACTGGGGAGAGTCATCCCCCAATCTCTTTTTAATGCAAGCAACCAGTATGATTCACAAGAGAGAAAAACATAGCAGCCACACACAGTGCAGTGGCCAGGTCCCCTCGGAGCTCTGTTCCAATGACCAACTCAGCACTGAGTGGCTGTGACACAAGCCCATGGGATGCAAGTTTTCCAGAAGACATCTTCTGCTCTATACATATAAAGCACAGAGGAACAACTGACTGTATCACCAGCTCTCTTCCTCTCACAAGCTGAGCCTTCTCCAAAACTCAATAAACAATTCCAGACAAGCAATGGGGTAGGCTGTGCAATAAATTAAACCACAGCCTCCTAACTGCAGGGCACAGGAGCAGAGAAGATACTCACTATCACTTTGCAACTTCCCGATAAAAACTATAACACTAATTTTTTTTAATGTGGTTTTAATCAAACTTGTGTTTAAGATGCCTATCGACTCTATAATCTAGACACCAAATTCCAACACCATTAATTACTTTGACAAGGCTCCTGCAGATCCCAATGAGGTGGTTCAACTCACTTGGGTACCACCTCGTTTCAAGTTTACCATCTTATTAACTAAGCTTGCAACATCAATATATGCTGCACACTTGATTGAAATTTCCCTTTCTCAAAGTGATTTACGTGTGCACTGAGGTTGGAAAAGGAAGTCCTGTAAAAGCATAGCCCAATAAGCCAGCAGAAAACATGCAGCCTGCTGCTCTTTCTTTCCCAACCGATGTATATGCAATTTTGTTTTGTGCTGGGGAGCAGACACTTAGAATCATATGAGTTAAGGAGGTATTCTTGGTGAACAGGACTGGAAACAGAATGCAATTCAATTGCATGGTTATTAACACATGGAACAAAACATAATGTGGCTGTATTAAGAAGCATGGAACAAAACAAAATGTGGCTGTATTAAGAAGAAAGCTCCTGAAGCTTGCAAGAAAATGGACCAAGGTCTAGATTCAGTAAGCAGAAGCCACGTTTTGGGGACTTCTACTAGAGAATAACAAACACAGAGCTATAAAAAGATCCCACATAGAGTCCTTTAAAGGAAAATTTAGTCTGGTTTTGTTTTGGGTCTTTTCTGAATAAACATTCATTTATCAGAATTTGAGACTTGGCCAGCCAATAGAAGTGACGGTCCACTACCCTGTCACCCAGAATGAATATTTTTAAACTTTGCTTTTGGAGTTTGCCTTTGCAAACAAATGCACTGCAGAACAGACCTGGAGCTCTTGCTGCCAGCGTTCCTGAGCACCGGAGCACCAAGACGTGAGCTGCAATCACTGCAACTGTGACTGCAGGGAAATGTCACCACATCCCACCCGCTGCCCGACAGAGGGGGATCCCTTTGCTCTGAGCAATCTGATCAAGCTGTGGATGCTCCTGCAAGTTGCAGGGGAGCTGGACTAGATGACCTTTGAAGGCCCCTTCCAACTCCAAGCATTCTATGATTCTTTCACTCCAATAATGGGCTCTGATGATTGCTCAGTTGTTCTCTTGACAGAGTGCAGCCTACAATGCACACCTGCCTAGGAGCATTTCTCCAACTGCCCCCTTCTTCCACTTACAGTTCAATTAAAAAAAAGCTTAAAGGTGCAAATGGCACAACTGCAATTTAAACAGGGTTAGCAGGTCAGGCTGAGAAGCTGTTTTGCAGCTGGCAGAGCAAACCAGAGGCTCCTACCACTTGGAAGCCTGGCTCTCCTTCCCCTCCCAGCTCTTCTGCTTGTATGATCTGAGCTGGTTTGACAAGAACAGGAGGCAGACGTGTCAGCCTCACGCCATGCCAACACCACAGAAGTAAAATCCTTCCAGGAGCACAAGGCTGGCTGCAGGGGTGAGAGCAGTGAGGCAGCAGCACACCAGGCTGGCACTCTTACACTACGATTGGGAAGCACACAAAGAGACATCTGAGCATTGTGGAGAAGGCACTGGGCTGTGTTAGGCTCTCCCATTAACCCCACTGGGTACCCCCATTGCTGCCACGCACCTTGCTGGGTGTTCACCCAACCAAGCCTCCACTGCAAGGAAAGGCCCAGTACCAGGGAGTGATGCTCCTCACAGCTCTGTCTCCATCCGAACAACCCCAGCCTCTCCCAGCCAGAAAAGCAGCCTCAGCCAGCTGGGAATGGGCCACAAAGGGTTAGGAAGGATGGAAATATGGAGGCCCTGTGCAGCCTCCGTCCTTGGAAACTGTTACATGGGGACATCTGTAGTGGGGCTGCAAAACTCGGAGGCATTTGAGGGTGAAAGGCTGAGACGGGGCTGGAAGCAGAACTGTGCTTATGGGAGAGCAGCACTGGGAAAATCTGAGAACTCTGCTGCCCAGTGCCAAAATGGCATGTGATCACTTTTTGAGAAGACGCAAATATTCCTAAACCAGCCCCTGCCCCAGCCTGGGGAAACGTGTCCTGCTTTGAATCAGAGCTGTGAAAGCACAAGTTTTTGTCTTGGTTACACAACACTTTTTGTCCCAATTACCAAAGTGATGGGCAAAGCCTGAGCACAGCCAGCCTCTTCTCCCTGCCCCACTGCAGGGATCAACAAGAACTTTGAAACAGCGATTTGATCTCACTTCTCTGGGAAACTGGAACTCCACAGCTCTCTGCTGTGGCCTCACACAGCTGACACAACAGCACCTTTGTGCGGCAAAGAAAAGCCTGTTGGATGAAGAGCAGAGGCCAGACCAGAGTATTCCAGGTCAGCTGCAGGTCGGGCAGAGCAGGGACAATGGAGAGCAGTGGAAGGCTCTTGGAGCCACTGCTTCCAGGGACAGTGCAAAGCATTTGTGCCCAGAACACAGATGCAAGAGAGCAAAGTCTTAGCACATACACTTAGTGGCCGAATTGGGCTTGCAGATTGTGCAGATTGCCAGCAGATACAGCCTAAAGAGATGACTCAGCCATGATTTGCTGCCCTTCCTCTCTTACTCTTTGCAGGAGGAAGGGAAAGAAAAAGAAAAATAAAAAAGAAAAAAGAAGGATTTGATTCCATACAATTAACTGGCTTTGTGAGTCTGTCTCATTCTGATCAATCCCCTCCAGCAAAGTGAGTGCTCCATTCACTCCAGCACTGCTCTGGCAGGAGACTGCCTGCCCCTCCCTGCCCTCCCCAGGCTCAGCTCGTGCTGGCTCACACGGCCGCACTTGGGTCCAAGATGAGTACAGGGGAAGGCTGGAGGCAGAGGACTGAGCCGCCAGCAGAGCAGGCAGCAGCTGGCCGAGCACCCTGGCTGCACAGCTGACTGTCATGAGCTCCATGTAAACGCTTTGCTGTCGCCTCCTCATCCCCAGGATCCAGACCTAGAAGCTGTCACCCAGCCAACAACACATCTCTCTTTTCTAAAGTGCTGCTCTCCCATTTTCCAGCCTGATGGGATTACCCATGCTGTGCCCGGCTGCCCTGCCCAAAGCACATCGCACCCAGAGCTCGGGCTGTGCGTCCCAGCAACGGGAACGTGGGTGTGAGGGACAGCAGGAGCCCAAGGGCTGCATGGAGCCCCAGCAAAGTATGGGAAGGCCCAGAAGGGAGAGGGGAGGAGCAGCCCCAGGTGACCCCAACACACCCGTTACGGGACCCGAGGGCGATGTAACAGCTCTGCCAACACAAACACAACTGCACGCAGCTCATCAAACCACCTCACATACACGATGCTCCGGATCTGATGCACTGCCCAACCAGGATGAGTAACTAACTCTGGGATGGATGCGGCAGGAAGGGGGCACGGCTGAAGCTGGGGCTGACAGAGCCACAACCAGAGCAGGACAGGAGGAAGGGGTGACAAAGGGCTGGCGGGCAGCAGCCACACTGCAGAGCCAAGGCACTCCCCTGGATGCAAGGGGAGGGCTATCAGCTCACTCTACCCTGTCCTTAATGCTGCCTACTGCTCTCCTCTGACTATTGCTCATTGCAACACACCATTTGACAGAACCCCAAAAAAGCCCATGGTGTGGCTGCCCAGCTCCCTGACATAAGCAGAGGAACGCTGCATTCTGTAACCCAGCAGCGCTGTGAGCACTGTGTGTCACTGGGTCACCCTGCTCCGAGACGAGCGGGGAGAACATTTCAGTCTATGTTTTACAGCTATTGCCAAGATTCCCCCACAGAGTCTCTGTGGATGCCTGGAAGCACACTAAAGTGTAAACAATAATAATACATTTAAAAAAAAGAAAGAAAGAAAGAAAGAAAGAAAGAAAGAAGCTCAACCCCCTCGAGAAAGAGGCAAACTCACAGATGTTTGGAAGATGCCCTGGAGCGTGCAGGAACGTGCTCCCCGCACAGAAGGGGTACAGAGCACAGCTGGGCAGAGGACAGCAGCGCCGTCCCGGGCACGGAGGGCAGCAGCCGGGTTCCCCTCACACGGGGGCAGCCAACAGGTCCCACGCCCTCAACGCGGCGGATGGATGCGCTTTTCGGCGCTGCCCCGCAGCCGATCGCGGAGCGCGGACGCTCCCAGCGAACCCACCCCCGTTACCCCGTCCCGCAGATCCCGCAGATCGCCCCGCGTCCCGCATAGCGGCGCCTCGGGAGGAGCGGCACAGAGCCGGCAGCGCTGCCCTCCGCCCGCCCAGAGCTCCGGGGGGACCGGCAGCGCCCGGCCTTTGTTTGCCCAGGGCCGGGCCGGGCGCGGCGGAGCTCCCAGAGCCGCGCGGAGCCGAGTCACTCACATAGTGCTTGTTGGGGATGCGCCGCTTCTGCACGTCCAGCACCTTCACCTCCGCGATGCTCCGCCTGGGCATGCCTCTGCCCTCGCAGCCCGGCGGCGGCCCGGCGGGGAGCGGCGGCGCTGGGGGAGGCTCTGGCGCACGCAGCCCGGACCGGAGCCTGCAGCGCCGCGCCGAGCCCGGCCGAGCCGCCCGCCCGCTGCCGGGGGAGGGAGGCGGCCCCGCACCGCCCCGGCCTATCCCAGCCGGAGGGGCGGCCCCGCCGCCATCCGCTTAAAGGGGCGAGCGGCGCCGCCCGGACCGCACGCGTCCAGCTCGACGCCGAGGGGTGTCGGAGCGGTAAATGCGCGGTGTGGAAAGCCGCCGGACGGCTCCGTACAACCGGCCCGAGAAAACAAAAGTTGCGTCGGCCCGCGAGCGGTGCTTTTCCAAACGGCGCGTGTGGAAAAAGCTCTGCGGGGCAGCGCGAGCCGTCCGTGCCGCCCTCTTTCTTCGCCCTTTCTGCTCTTCAGCGCCCCGAAGCGATGCCGATGTGAGAACCGGCCCGGCACAGCCCCGGCTGTTCGCTCTGCCCGGCTGATGTATATTTCTGGCTTAGGGAACCTGGGAGCGGGCTCTTTTACCCTGCTCGTGTGCCACAACTGCTCCCAAGCTGTGCTGGCTTGGGCACTGACAGCAGTATCCCTACAGCATTTCGGAAATGAGTAGAAAACAGGTTTCCTTGAGCGTTGGTATAGTCAGATCTTCAGAACTGCCCTGGAAAACCTTTGCACCCTTCAGGACTGGGGGCTGAGGCACCACACCCCTACCCCAGCAGCCCACTCCGTCAGGCCATGCCCTTGGCAGGGAAGAAGACAAGACAGCAGCCCAGCACTGCTCACAGCTGCTCCACCCATCGCCCGCTTCTTCCCAACAGCAACTCAACGCGTGGCATAACCAACAGCTCTCCTCCCTGATGGGCTTTTAATTACATTACAAAGTTACCCAAGCATCACGCTGGCAGGTCATTAACTTTCGTATGAATTTAATTTAATCATCACCAACTCATCTCACTCCTTGGCTGCTCCTTAAACGTGGCTTTCTTATGCTGCTAACTTTGCTATTGCGGCCACAGAGAGCCATGGAGGTGCAGACAACAGATGTTAACCTGCAAGGTGAGGGGAATTCAGTGAGATGTGGAGTTAGAAATGCTACATCTGCTGCTGTCCCTTCTGCTTTGAGTGCTGTTTTGCTGTGTTCAGCAGTGACTGCAGGATGAGAGGTGTCTGCAGAGAGTAATGGTGCTGGGCATGCTGGTCGTCTGCATGCACAGCTGGCCTCCTGCATTCTACTAATTTGATTTAACGGAGCAAACAGACTGACCTGACATCCCTCGCACGCTGAAAACAACACAGCCAGGCTGATAGCTCTGCTGCTCGCTCCATCTGTACATTGACACAGAGGCCATCACCTACACACCTTGGACTCATTGCTATGGACCCCGGGATCAGTCTGCACATGCCTGGGAATGTCAGTGAGCGTAAGCAGCGGTGTGAAACCACGCGTACAGTGAGCTGTTTCTGCTGCTTTCAGCATCAGAGCAAGTCAGGCCCTCCTGTGCCCTGCATGCTGGTTTACCCTGCCTTTCATGCTGGCCATGCAGCTGCTGGTGAGAAGCCACAAGAGATAACAGTCAGCCCCCAGTGACCCTGAAAAGGAAATCAGCCGGAGCAGCCCAGAGGGATGTGGCCAGGGCTCTGCCTGGAGAGCTTTGCTCTCACCTCCCCATTCTGTGCACAGACTCTTCAGGCATTCTTCTGCTGACTTCAGTTCCTGAATGCTACAACATCCCCATGTAGAGGTGTGTGAGACTGAAAGCAAAAGTGTGAACAAGCTCTCATGGCACCTCAGATCCACCTGCATCCATTCTCAGGAGCACACAGTGCTTTTCTGCCTTTCCACTTCCAGCATCTCTCTGCACTGCTCTGGACATGTCCCGTAGCAAACACTGCAGTCTGTCAGGGCCATTCCTCTACATCTGCTGTAAATCACTCGTAGGAAACAGGCATTTTGTTATGCATAGGAGGTTCTGCTATCTGTATCTTCCAGTGCAAACCCACTCCAGGCTGCGTATGCTGGCAGAGGGCCATGTAGCCACACAAAATCAATCAGAAGCACTTCAGTATCAGCACTGCTTCCCCAGTGCAGCCTGCTCAGAGGGGGCTGAGGTGACCCCATTGCATTGGACCCCAGCACACCAACACTGGCTGCAATTCCACTGCATCCAGCACTAGGAATGAGTAGAGGTTAGAGATAATCAGGTGGCTGCTGTGCTTAATTAACAGCCCTGATGAGAGCAGTAGAGAAGACGGAGTGTGGTTTTGCACGCTGACCTGACTGCATCCCATAGGAGGCATGGAAGGAACTGCAGGGCTGTGACTACAGTTCTGCTGTTCCTCAGGTGTGGATCAAGGAAATGGTGATGGCCCTGGGTGCCCATGCCTGGTGTACATCTCAGGTATGGCCACAGCACCAACAGGACTATGGTTGCAGTGCTTCTGAGGCTGCCTGATATTGGGATGCAGGTGTAAGTGAGAGGAGTTCAGGGATGAACAAATTATCCCCAGCTGCCCTAAGAGAAGCTTCAGGTGTTGCTAACTAACTACACAGGAGAACTCATCACTTACTGGAGCCAACATCTCAATCCAAGACTACAAACAACTTCTGAAAATCCAGCCCTCAGCTCGCTGTGCAGAGGGCTTTCCACGTGGCTGCAGCAGGCTCCAGCTGTTGGGCGCAGTGCGAGGGCCAGAACGCAAGGAGATCACACTGCCCTGCAGAGAGAACAGCATCCCACCGCCTCTGCTCGCCTTCTCCATGCAAGAATTGTGCGTAAGGGGACCGCTGGCGATGAAACGCTGCAGCACCGAGGAAAAGCGGAGCCGGTCCGGAGTTGTGCGGTGGGGCAGGACCCGCTGAGCGGTGCTACCGCGCAGCTCCAGCCGCTCCAGCTGCCACCTGCCGCCCGGCGCGGGGAAGCGCGGCCCGCAGCCCTGCATCGCCCGGGGCACGACCGGCCCGTGGCACAGTGCAGCCACAGAGATCGCTGTTCCCCTGCAATAGCTCCAGCCCGACGCTTTTTCTCCCCGCGGAGCCATTCGCCGCCCCACCGCAACAGGAGCGCTGCGAAAGCCTTCAGGTAGTTTTTGGATGGCTCGGAGCCCACGGTGCGCAGAGGGGGTAATGAGCAGAGCCGAGAGCAGCACAGCTCGTGCGGCACCAGCTGCTTCTAGGGAATGGCAGCTCGATTTTTATGAAGACAGACAGATTTTTCACTTTGCTCCGTGCTTCACCGAGGCAGAATGGCAGATAATGGCTATGTCTGGAATACACGGTGCTTTCCACCTATTTATAAATAAGAATTGTCACGGTTGAAGCTCCCCTCAGGCGCTGCCGGGGACACGCGGATGAATTAAATACTCCCGAGACACACTCAATGAGGCCACTTTGGACCGGGGTGTCCCAGGGGACAGCGCAGCCCAGCAGATGTAAATGGAGGCAGCTCATTACGCGTTCTCAGCTATTCCATTTCTGCATCACGGAGCAAGAAGACGGGCAGCCGGTGCTCTGCAGCCCATGCGGCTCCTGTTAAAGCCAGGCAACGTGAAGAAAAAGGAATTAAACGAGCGATTTGCATTCTTTCCCAGGAGGATGCAACGCTCCTCTCTACCAAGCAGGGGCAGCCGAGCACTGCTCTCAGCCATCGAGGAGCTGCTGTTGGCCCTACCAGCGCTCCGCTTCTCCGCGGAGATGTCAGGAGTGCTCCCGAGCTGCGTTTAACGAACTGCAAGTTCGGCCTCACAGTGCTCCCGTACCAGAAGCGGCTCCGGGGCTTTCTGACAGCAAAACCCAACCTGAGACAGCAACGCTGTGCTGGCGTGAGGCACAGTGAGAGCACGCGGCAGAACAGACACACGGCTGGGTTTCTCGGTCTGTTACTTTATTAGAAGGCTCTTTACATCATAGTGATGACTCCACTGAAGATGTTCTCCAAAACATTTTAAAAGTCTTTTTATTCAAAGCCACATTTTATAAAATGGCCCCTCATCCCCCGCCCCCCCCCCAGAAAAATGTATTTGTGGTTACTTCTGAACGGGAAACGACAAAATATCCTCTTCTTAAAGGGAGGCAAACTAACCTCCCTGTAAACATGACTATCATCAGATGTGCTCCCCTGCCCTCTGCATGGAGAGGGTTTGGTGCCAGAGCACCAATACATCTGGAGAAAGAGCAGAACAGGCAGAGGACAAAACCATTCTCATCCTCAATTAGCAGAAGCAAAACCATGCTGCTAACTCCAGGCTGTGAGTGAGCTGCACTGGAGGAAGGCACAACCGATTTCCCTAAGGGGATTGAACCAGCTCTTTAAAAGCTTCCAAAAAGTCTCCATCCATCCCCACAGCTGCACAGTATTCAGAGAGAACTGACACTCTTGGGTTGGTGCAAGAAGGCGGTCAGAGGGGCTGCAGGCTGCTTCAACTGGACAAAGTATGGCAGCAACACCACAAGACATCCTTCTGCAGGTCACATATACCAAACCAAAAGCCACACACCAGGCACTGATTCCTGCAACAACCACCATCTTTCTGAACAGCTCCAGCCTGACCCCAGTGGGACAGGGAACTAAACCACTGGAACTGCTACTGTACATTTCTATTGCAACTAAAAGGCTGAAACAAATACATCGTCCTGGTTCAGGATCAACCCGTGTTCATGCATTTTTGTCCCAAACTGGTTCTGTTTGTTTCGTATCTGAAAGGCACAGCCAATCCTTTTGGAGATGGGAGAGGCAGCCTCCCTAGGACAGCCTATTGAAAGTCACCACGCAGACTGCTTGCAAAGGGACCAAGCCCTTACATCTCTAGGCTGTGTTTATTAAGACATTAATGATGTAGATTCAGAAGGATCTTGGAATGGCCCAAATTAATGTAGTCTTGTTAGTTTGTAGGAAGCATATTATGAACTCTAAATGGGTAGTGAATGCACTCCTCAGATAAAGATGTGGGAAAGACCTGGGGGCTGACTCCTTCAGCTAGGGAGCTGAGAGTGCAGCGTGCCACACACCACCTTCCCCTGGAATGGCAGCACATCTCTGAACTGATACATGTTAATAGTTATTTTTTAACAGGGAAATTTCTTCTTGCACAAAACAATTGTCCAGACATCAAAGAGAGAAAAACCCAAGTGCTACCACACACCTTTTGGTCACTGCCATTGCATAAAGAGGGCCTTGCTCAGTGAGGTCTCTGTTCCCTTTCCCAGGTTTGTGCTCTAGGTCCCACCCAAAGCTCAGCCATGCAGTGCTTTGTGCTGATGTAGAACAGCACCCACCTGAGACATCGCCACAGAACAGAGGGGTGGAAGTCTGGGCCCACTGCTGCTCTGCCTCTCTGCAGCCTGATGCTAAGTTGAAGGTCAGGAAAATCATCAAAAAGACCATAGCACTTCACGAGGAGATAAAACAGGGTAACAAGCCATCGTGACCTGTCTTTGTGTCTCCTCTTCCCTTGCATCCCTTGTTTCAAGACTCCTTTGCTTCTTCCTGTGACCCTGACTTCAGAGTGGCTGATTTACATCCCCACACATATATAGCACTTAAAAAAAAATCTCAGGCACATGTGTGACCATAAGAGCTGCTGCAATAACACCCTGTAACCCCTCGCTGCAACACCATGGGAATGAACAACATTACAAACTCCCACGTGCACACACACTTCAAGAGACAAAAACTTGCAGGCAGTTGAGAGGTTCAGTGATGAGCCCCACATTATAGCTGCAAGTCTGGGGCCTGATAAGATAATGTTAGCCAGGTGCAGAGGGACTGTGGTGCCTGCAACCACAGCAAATGAAATGACAATGAGAAACTGAAGGCACTCTGACAGGATGCTCAGCTTCATAGTCTGTGGTGGGAGGAAGAGGAAAGAAGGAATCCAACTCTATCTCCTAGAAGGAAATACATCCAAATCACTGTCTCCCTTGAGACAAAGAGGGCCATGGCAGATACAAATAAATCTAAGGCAAGTGTGGGGGGGCAACAAGGCCAAGGCTTGCATAAGACACCACAGGGATGCTTTGTCCCAGGCTGGCCAGTTACAGAGGACTAGGAGAAGCAGCCTAACCACTGGCAGTGTGCTCGAGGCCCTGCCTGCTGCTCCTGCTCAGGGCTGCTATTCTTCAGTTCCAGCTGATGAGCCCGCTGAGCACCAGGCTCACAGCACAGGCAACGCATTCAGCTAACAGTGCAAGTAAACCACAGAAATTGTTCTTCCCAGTCATGAGTTCTGCTGAGCAGGCCAGACTCTGGAAAAGCCTCCAAAGCATCCAGTAGCATCTCCCAGTGAAGGACAAAGGCACATTTCTCATAGAGACAGCACAGGGACAGGTAGGTGCTGTGAGAAGAGGCTGCTGAGAGTCTTCTAAGTCCAAGATGCCTCACTACAGCCCAGGAGGATGCAGCAAGGCCCAGCTGGTGTCCTGCCAGCCACAGGGTTATGAGCTCTCTGTGGAGCTGAAGGGGATGAACTTGGTGTGTTTGCTTGGGGATGCTGGGGTCTGTTCATCTGCCTCCACACTCAGCTTGAAAAACATCTCCTGCTCACGCTTCTTCTGGTTCAGCTCATCCTCCAGAGCCTGAAGCAAAAGGGACAAAACACAAGGTATATTTGATATATACCAGAGCTCTGGACATTGCCCCCCTCCAACCATCCCAGCACATCGATCTGCAGGGAGTGCAATGCAATACCTTCTTCCGTGGCCTCAGCTTGTCCCGCCACTCCTTCATGTGCAGGTTGTGATTCTCATCCAGGGACTTAAGTTTCTGCGTTTCATGTTCAATCAAAAGGTGACACTTTTCATTCTAAACACAGACCACAAAGCAAAACACTCATTAAGGAAGTGGGACTGTAAATCCTGAGGTCCAGCAAGACTTGCAGCAGCCAGAGGCATTTGAAGCTCTGAGCTCCAGGGCATGCTTATACAGTGCCACAAAAACTTCTAAAGGTCAAGCTGGAGAATGCCAGTTCTAGCTCACTGCAGCCACTTTTACAGTGGCCAGGGCTTTTCTGCACATCTGAGGGGCACAGGTACCTGCAGTTGCTGGAGCTCGTTTGTATTGCTTTCACATTGGGCTACCATGTCCTTCATCTGTGTCTCGTGCTTTTGCTGCTGGTGCAGCCGCTCTGCCTTTTGCCTCTTCTCTTCCTGCTGAGAAAACTGGAAGAGAAAAAAGCAGGAGCCTCTGTGTGAGCATCGCTGCTCTGATCACTGCAGTAGGTTAGAATCCAAGGAATGGTTTCTTCTTTCCAACCTGAATTCCCCAGTGAAGCTCTACAGCCCTAAGTCAACCCTCAGCCCTAGTGTTTTGTGCACGGCCTGACCTGTTTTATCTTCTCCCGCTGTTCAGCTGCACTTCCGCTGGAGTGGATGTGAAGGCTCTTCTTGTACATGGCCATGCGCGTTTTCCCTTCACTCCGCTGGATTTTGGGGAGCCGAGCTTTCTCCTGCTGCTGCCGAATTTTCAGCTGCTCTATCATACGTTGGTTGTACCGCTGCATTTGCTCCCTTTCCTGCAATGTACGAGATAAGTTAACAGGAGGAGACACAAGTCAGATGTGCCAACCTTGCTTACTGCTGTGAGAATCCAACTCACATGCAGGATAACGTTTCCAGAAAAAATAAAGCCATAAAACCCATCAAAATTCACAGCTGCTTCTTGTATGTTAAATGCAAGCAGCACAGAATATAGATGCCAAGCAATTCATACAATCATAGAATCACCAAGGTTGCAAAAGACCTACAAGATTATCCAGTCCAACCATCTACTTATCACCAATAGTTCTCACTAAACCAGGTCCCTCAACGTCTGAACATTCCTGGAACACCTCCAGGGTTGGTGACTCCACCACCTCCCTGGGCAGCCCATTCCAGCACCAGACTGTTCTTTTAGTCATCTGACCTGAGTGTTATTCTGATCCCTTTGGACTAATAATGACCAAGACCTTCAACTCCTAGCTCACATTCCACTCTCACTTAAATCCTGGATGGGAAGCATCCCTTTCACAGACACCCAAGCAGCATGCAGGATCATTACAAGAAGGAGCTAACTGTTCACCTTCTCATGCTTCCTGAGCAACTCGTGCCTCTGGAGGAAATACTGGTCCTTTAGCTGCTGCTTGATAAGCTGGTGCTTCTCTTGCTGCTGACGCTCCTCAAGATCCCAGATGCATGCCTCTCGGTCTGAGGAAAGGAAGAAAAAGTCTGAGTCAGGAGAAAACCCACCCTGGACCCTCAGCTTGGTCACACACAGCACCCTGAGCGTGAGTGGTCTCACAGGTGGAGCAGCATAGCAGATGTGCTGTGTGACCACTCACCACCTGTTTTCCAAGCAAAAGTGGTTGCAAGCCATATTAGAGAATCATTTCTTGTAATTATGAAGCCTAATTGGTTCGTATTTGTAAAGTGCTTTGAAGATTAAAGCGCTATTTATTATTATTGCTAAACATTTAGACAGGATCAGGAAGGGCTGTTTTTTCTAAATCCTACCCTGCCAGCTTGCAACTCTGCCACAGCAGCTGTTGTGTGGGATGAGCCAGCAGTGGATGAAGCATCATTACAGCGTTTGCTTTCTTCCTTCTCCTTGCCACCCACCTCTCATGAGCTGCTGCTTTTTGTTCAGGCACTCGCGTTCCTTGTCACAGATCTCTTTTTTGTTCTGGGCAGTTATGTTCTTCATGGCTAGCTCCAGATCTTCCTTCTGCTTGGCCAAAAAATCCTGTTCCTGGAAGGATAGCAATAACAGCATGAGCCCTCCTCCTACTGCAATGTGAAAAGCATCTGGTGGTATTTTACAAGCTGCCAATCCCTCAAGGAAGAAGGATGCTTCTATCTTCAAGTAGTGGCAATCTTCTCTCAAACCTTACCATGGTTTGTTTTCTCTGGGCAAAGTCATCCATCTTCACCTTCATATTCTCTTTGCGCTGTTGCCGTGGCAGCTTTTCAACCTCATTCTTGACCTTTGGGGAGGGAAAGGAAATTTATCAGCAGGTAATTTAGGCCAAGAAAACACCAGGGAATGTTGCTAAACATCTGGACCTCAAGAAACAACCTAATATCCCAAAGAAAACCGAAAAGCTTCCTGCTAAAACACCAACAACTGCTTCCCCCTTGAACTTTGCTACGGAAAACTGATTATGCTTTGCTGGAAGAAACAGATGCAGGAAGCCAGCTTTCCTCCATCTGACCCCAAATGTACCTCCTTTTTCTTCTGCTTCAGCTGCTCCATGAACTTCACATGGTCCCGTTCCTGCTCTAAGCGAATGCGCTTGGCCTCTTCCCGGCGGCGCAGCGAGTGATCTTGTTCCATCTTCTCAATCTGCTGCTTCTGCTGCCGCTCGAGGTTCTCCAGCTCAGTGTCGTAGAACTTCTTCTTAGCCTGTACAGGCAGGGAGCACAAGTCAACCTCAGTCTCCACTAAGCTTTGTTTTCTGATGTAGGTGTCCTAACACAGATTGAGCCTCTTTACTGAATACAGAGGAAAGAAATTCCCATAGAACGATGCATGAAGTGCACAGGGCAGACCCAGCTCTAGCATGAACCCTTTTTACATTTGTTCTAGAACTGATGCATTTCAACACTATCTACTTGCTTAAATCCTGATCTGCAGCATCCCACTGGGACCCACAGCCCTGAGCAAATATTAACAGGCAGCAGAGTTCAAACATAACATTTCTTTCTCTACAGACAAGGATTTTCATGTTTGAGGGCACCGTGCTCCAACAGAGCCTTTGTGTCTGATCTCCCTGCAAGAATCTGGTATGGAGACACCAGTATCAGTGGGGTTGGGCTGCAAACTGCCACAGGGAAATGGTACAAGAAGCACATGTGGGGCTTTTGCACATTGCAGTATGTGGTGAATAACCTCAGAAATGGGAAGTGATTTGCTAAGATGGGAATTCACAGATGTGGCACGACAAGACTTTAACAATCTAACAGTACACAAATGATTGATGCCTCCCAGCCTGCTGTGGGAGGATGAGGCTACCAGATGTGCAAGCTAGGTGAATTAATAAAGGGGTGTTTAAAAGATAGTTCATGAAAGCTTTACAGAGACTGGACTACAAAATCATTCTACTTCAGTGTAAGCTGACCACCCTGCTTTCTTCTTCGAAGAGTTTTTGTTGTTGTTAAAAACAATAGTGCTACAAATCTTTTCTCACAGTAGCAATAAACAGACATGCAAGAAAAGACTACTAAAGAGGGAAGTCCTGAACAACCCTTCCCCTGCCACACTCTGCAATGGCAGTCAGCATTCCCAAAGCACATATCACCCACAAAAGGCTCCATCCTCCACAAATACATCCCATCCCTCAGATCCCAAAGGAGCTTCTCAGCTGTTCTGCCACAACCCAGACAGCATTGCCCTGTGACAGTTTGCCAGGAAGAAAAGTCAAAGCAGCTGACAGCCAGCAGTTCCCAGTGCCCACGTACTGTCATCTCTTGCTCAAAGCGCCGGAGCATCTGCTCCAGCTGCAGCTGATGCTTGCTGTTGAGCTGGGCCTGGTTTCGGTGCTCCTCCTTCTGAAGCAGACGCAGCTCCCTCAGCTCCTGGCGCCTGCAGAAGGTTAAGAGAGAGAGGGAGAGAGAAACACTGTCAGATGAGTTCAAGAGCTGCGTGCCTGAGTGGAGATGGCAGAATCAATAACCAGAGCACTGCAGGAGTGAATGAAAACTGCACAGGCATCCCTTTAGCTGCTGACTGCTGTAAGCACAGGCAGGAGGTAAATGCCAACAGAGCGGTATGCACTGGGCTCTGTGACACCAGATCACTTCAAGAAAGCAAGATGCTAATTACTTTAACTGTTGGCAGGCTGTCAGTTTTCACCAGGATGGACTGTCAGCACTCAAGCCCTCTCCAATAAGCGTTGACAAAGTTCCTAAGGTGATGCTGCAGGCAATGCCTGCCATCCAGATTATTGCAAGACTATTATCTTGAAAACATGGCTCAGGCCAAGCTGGTGTTGTGCCAGCCTGCTCCCAACACCCTGCATCCATTTGTGCTCACAGCTGGGTGGCAGAAAGGGCAGTTTTCCCCAAATTTTGCCCTACCTACCAAGATGCTGCTCCACTCTCCTCACTGAGGGAACGACAGGCTGAGGGAGCTGGGCTTATTCAGCCCAAAAAAGAGAAGGCTCTGGGGAAACTTCACTGTGGCCTTCCAGTACTTGAAGGGAGCTTATCAACAAGATGGAGACTGACTTTTTACACAGGCAGATAGTGACAGGACAGCTTCTGCTTTTGGAGAAAATAACGCCGCCCAGCTTGTCGCCCTGCCCTCCCTCCAGCATGGAGGCCAACTTGCCTGAGAAACCTCATCTCTTCATCCTTCTTTTCATCCTCGCTGATGATCTTCGAGGTGGTGACACTGACCTCTACTCCATCCACCACAAACTTGCGGGTGCGTTTCAGAGTCTTGTTGTGCATCCTGGAATCCTGCATTCAGCAGAGGAGGAAACAAAAAGGCCATGAAGCAACTCTGTGGTTTGCAGCACAGGGTATAGAGCTGGAGATCTCAGAGCGATTTTGATGCAATTGTTGATAAAGAACAAACACAAAAAAGGACAACACATCAAAGTGGAAATCATCAGCAGATTTGGAGTCACCATTCAAATCATTCAGTCTTTGCTACATGATGGAGTAGTGTGATTTCCACCCTGCAAAACTGCAGTGCCTAGAAATCCACAAGACACAAAGCTGGCAGTGTTTCCTTCTAAGTCCCCTGGGCTTTCTGACCAGCAGGTGCAAGGCAGCCAAGGCTACAGAGAACTGAGCCAACCCTACATAACATCTCAGAGTTTGTGTCCCTCTGGCCCTCATTACAGTGCTTTGCTAATCACAAGCAGCTCCAAGCTCTTTACAGCACCACAAAGCACAGCCCAGGATCACTTCTACTCATGCTGAGGAAAGTGAAGAACCTGCATTTCTCTGCAAGGTCTGCACCTGCAGCCTGGCTGAAGGGCTGCCACTGAGGAATGGGATTCTCTGGCAAATAAATAAGTGCACAAATGAATCACGGATTCATTAAGGTTAGAAAAGAGCACTAATATAATCTAGTTCAACTGTTAACCTATCAGCACCATGCCCACTAAACCATGTCCCTAACATTGTGCAGTCCTACAGAGAAAAGGCAATAAGGAAATAGGCCAAGGCAGCCCCTAGCCCTCTTGTTCTTACGCTGATGACCATTACAGAGAACACAGCACAGGAGCTTTCCATGAGCCTGCAAGAGCCCAAACAAGCACCCAAAGAGCCTGCAGCAACCAGAGAGATGAGGTTTAACCCTGGCAAGCAGCTGGGCACCACAGAGCTGCTTGATCACAGCCCTGCAGTTGAATGGAGGGGGAAGAGAATCAGAAGTAAGAAAACTGTTGAGATAAAGACAGTTTAATAAGAAAGAAAAATAAAAGAAAACAAAAGAACCCTACAACTAAAGGGAAAAGAACAAGTGATTCACCAGTGCAATTGCTCACCACCAGCCAAACGATGACCAGCAAGATCCCAAGCAACGGTGGCTTTTATTGCAGGGCACATCCCTTTGGTCAGCCTAGGTCAGCTGTCCCAGCTGCGTCCCCTCCCAGCTCCTTGTGCACCCCAGCTCCTTGCTGGCAGGCAGTATGAGAAGCCAGAAAGTCCTTGACTCAGTGCAAGCACTGCTCAGTAACAACTACAACATCGGTGTGTTATCAGCACTGTTTTCATCACAAATCTGAAACATAGCACCCTGTGAGCTACTATGAAGAAAATTAACTCTGTCCCAACCAAACCAAGACAAAGAGCAAGAGAAGAGCCAAAGGTATGTGACTTATCCGCTCAATAACAATCTGGCAGGACCTTAATGGATAAAACAACACTAAAATTGGTGAAAAAAAGGCTTGCATGAGACCATTTTAGGCCACAGCAGCTCTAAGTGCCACAAACTGAATTAAAACAGCTGGCTCCTACATTTTCAAGATGAGAAAGTGCCAATATTGAGCAGGTCTGAGCCACTCACAGTGCCCATGAGGCACCCTGTCCCCCCGTGCTATGTTCTCCAAACGAGGATCTCCTCCCACAAACAGTTCTATCTGGGAAAGTTTGCTTTTCTTTTTCAAAACCCTATCTGCTTCCTGCCTGCAGCCCATTGCTGACCGCTTTTTCTGCCAGCTGGAGCCTCCCAAACTCACCTATTTATTTCTTATCCTCAATTTTCCTAAGAGAAGAAAAAGATCTGGGAACTTTCTGGTGAATCTTTGAGTAAATTATAAACAACTGGAAAAGTGGATTGGTAATAAAGGAGTGATCTGAACTTCACAGTTTAACTTGTGATAAAATGCATATAACAGTTAGTTTTCACAGCCAGAACTGTTTAACTCTTTGTTGCCCCTTCTCTGGCTGCAGCATGCCTGCCCTCTGCACACAACCCAGCAGCATCAGAAACAACCAAGGGTACAGTGCAGGGTACCTGTCTGCAAAGCAAAGCCTGGGGGAATGCTCTGTATGAAACAGAGGGAAAAGGCTGTAAGATAAATCTCCTTCTCCATCTTTTCAGCAAATAAATAAGCACAGCTATTTCCTCAACTGCAAAACAAGAGTCCCTGGAAATCACAAAACATCCTAACATGGGGAACACCCCAGCAACTGGGAGGAAGAGGACTTCAGTCACACACAAGCTTGAGAGCAATGAAGTGCACTGCAAATGCTGCTGGTTGAGGAGGGAGCAGCACAGCCCGTGCCTCCCCACACCCCAACAGCTCTTGGAACAAAGCAGAGGTGTGAGGAGAGAATCCAGGACTGTCCAGCAGCATTACTCCCAAAGAACAGCTCTGCTTGAAAGCCTTGCTTGGAGAGATGTAGTATCATTCATTCTGAGTGCTGCCTCTCACTGGGGTAGATCAAACTATCATCTAACATGCCTCTCTCTTTATTCTCCCCTTCTAGGGGACCAACTGAGGAGAGCAATTACACACATGGCATCATGTGTGTATTTGGCTGGCCTCAAGGAGGCACAGGAAAGACAATGAAGAGGGATGAACTGCTATGCAAGAGCAGCACACATCCCTTATTAGCAGATCTACGTTGTGTGTGCACTCCTGCAGGGCAAACCAGAGGAAAGTTTTGCCAAGAACGGAATTTGGGCACATTTCAGTGCTAGGAAGTTATCTCTCATGCATGCTACTGGATAAAGGTCTTGTGCAACAACTCTCTCTGTCCTTCAAGTCACACACATTTCCTCTCCTGAAGCTCAGCAAATATCATTTGAATCGTTTTGCTTCTCATCTAAAACACGCTGACCTGGCTGGCTCTAGCTCACAAGCACTCCCAGCCTCCGGAAAGCCTTTGCAAAAGCCAAAAAAGCCTGGGAGGTCTTTGTGCAAATCACTGTTGACATAAACCATGCCAGATGTACAGCAGGTTGGAAAAATCGAGAAAGTCTTTTCTGGGCTGGTGCCTTTCTCCTGGGGGTAGGTATTCTAGGAAAAAGCAGGGATTGATGGGCAATACTAAAGTTTAGGAAATGACATTTTGAGTTTCCCATTTGAACTTGATCAGACTGTGCGCAGCTGCACAAGAAGGCATGGCTCCTTCAGATTTCTCCAGAACTTAAAATTAGCCACAGAGCAATGAACTTTCATTAGATTCCAGTGGCCTGGGACATGCAGCAACTCCACAGTGAGATTTTGCCCATTTTGAGGACATGCCACATGCTTATGGCACAGCCTAACCTAGCACTACCACAAACCTTCCTGGCCATCTCACCAAACAGCATTCTGCATCTGTGTGGTACTTTAGGTCATGGTGAGGGATAAACACCAACATTCCTGGACCTCTGCTGTCATCCAACCTCTGCACTCTCCGATGTTATCCGCTCCCTCTCCAGGCACTAGGGGTAACTCACTCATTTCTCCTGCAATCAAAGAGTCCAATGTATGGACCAAATCTTCCAGAAAAACATTCTGGTTTTCAGGAAGGAGTTTAATGAGGTATAGATGCACGCATGCACTCAGTCTCGAAAGGAAAGGATCTGAATTTCAGGGACTTGTATAAAAAAAAAAACAACAGCATTTACAGTGGGCTTGCTGCCCTTCCTGCTCAACACCCCCTACCCACTGCTCTCACCTTCAGGGAGATGGAACCACTCTCTCTGTTGAGTGACAGGTCAGCAGACAGGGAGATGGTGAGGTCCATACTCTCTGAGGCTGACGTGCTGCCAGAATCTGAGTCCCCTTTGGACCGGCTGCCAGGGAACACTGCTGATGAATCCAAGCTTCCATTGGCAAGTTTCTCTTCTGGGAAGTTTTCCAGGTGGCTGCTCTCTGGTCGGTCCACCATGCTCCTCCGCTCCTTGCTGCCTGGCATGGGCTGCTTATCCCCCTCTGCTGAACTACCCCGCCGTCCAGACAGCGAGATGATGTCTGGTTTGCCTGGGGTGGCTTTCCCTTCATCTGGGCCGGAGCTGGCAAGGGTTTTAGTGGAGTGGCTATTCACCAACTTGTCACTGTCACTGCTTATCCCTTCATCCAAGACTTTATCACTCTGTCCATTCACCATTTCCTTGTCAGTCGCTACAGGACCATTAGCTGTTTTGAGTGAGGAAGAGTCTGGAGGTTTGTCCCCATCAAAACTCAGCTGACTCACTTCAGAGGGGTCTCGCTTGTGCTTTCCAGGCAGCTGAAAAGACAACCAACAGAAGATGCTGGGTTTTGCACCACCACTTCAACAAATCTGCAAGAGTTTTAAGTCCCCATGCTTCAGAGTAAACTCACCCACAACTGCAGAGAACTGTGAAGAAATCTTCCCTTTCAGGACATTTTCCCTGGAATACTGATGTCTTTCTCCATAGGAAGAAAGACAACTTAGTGAAAGCCCTGGCTCTCCATCCCTCACAGCCCTGCCCACAGCAGCAGCTCTGTGCACTCCCATCTCATGAGCGGGCAGCTGGGCCACCCGCCAGCACCATTGTTTCCCCATGTCCTTGGCAGCCACTGAGAACTGGCCCCTCCCTGGTCACAAAACTGCTTTCCCATCCACCTGGGGGGCCCCAGCAGGGCAGCAGCCTGCTCCCATTGGGAATCTAGAAGACCCAGGATTAAGCCTTCTGCAGCCAGGCTGGGGGCTTTTCACCCACTGCCGCCCCACTCTGTGCCAAGTGTGGCATGGGGCTGGCAGAGCAGCACTTACTGAGGCTGACTCGGATGAGTCATCATCCTCTGCCTCATCCCGGCTGTCCTCGATCTCCTCCAGCACCTCTGCCTTAGCCTCAGCCACCAGCTCACGCAGGGCCCGGTTGCTGGTCACCTTGCTAACGAAGGGATGCTGAAAAGCCAAGTACAACAACATGTGAGACAGCAAAAACCAGAGCAAGAGTGCTGAGATGACAGTAAGGTACACATCTCACTTCTAAACAACTGCAAAGACCTAAGGGCGTGGTTCCTGCCAGCATCACCAGGCTTAACCCCCTAGATGAATTTACAGCTTTGTGTGAGGGAGGAAATGATGCTGAGGTTAAATCTCAGCTCTGTAAACATATTCCTAGCACAATCCTTTGCAAAGCTGCATTATGTCAACATTCCTCCCAGAATGCACCAGCTGCATTTAAACAAGGAGATCTCATTGCAAGATGTCCTCCTGCCCGCTGTGGGTGGGCTGACCCTGGGGTACAGGTCTGAGCCCTCTGGGCACTGCTGGGCAGTGGGAAGCCTCTGTGCAAACACAGAGGGGGAAGGTTTAATTGAAATTGGGCTCAGATCACTCAGTAAACAGTGGCATGTTTGTGCAGAGCTTCTGCAAGAGGCTGGGGAGTCCCTGTGGTTTGCAGAGTACATCATGCACTTCCTCCTCTTGACTCAGGTAAACATGCACCCGCCATGGGCTGCCCCAGTGACAAACAGAGCCATTCCTCTCTCATCTGTCACTGCACCACTCTCAGTGTTTACAGAGACAAAGCCCACTGCACACTCTGAGCTGAATGCTTACAGGGTGGGAAGGATGCAGCAAACATTCTCATGTTGCACAGCATTTGCTCTCCATGCAAAAAGGCATCTTCCAGGGTTTTGTTATTTTGGTAAGAAACAGGAGGAAAAGAGTTGCATTTAAATTTGGTATAACCAGTTATAAATTGAGCTGGCTGCCACTTGGGAATTTTTAGGGACTAGGAACCTCTTCTACTCTAGCTGGCATCAATATGAACTCTGCAGTTTGCTCCAATGAGTAAAACATAGCTGTTGCTTTTTAGATGATCTTAGTGGCTGAGCAGTACTATGGACTTTCTGAACAAGAGCAGTGTTATATAAAACCTATCTAGAGCTCATCATCACTCTTTTTTCCCCCTGAAAAGAAAACACACTGAAGTTCAGACACTCATGGCCCAGTGAAGACCCAGGGAGTAAGGCAGTCCCATCCTGGGTAATGCTGGTCCCTACCTCGAGCAGCTGGGCTGCACTGGGTCGGGTCTCAGGGTTCTTGTCCAGCGCTGTCTTCAGGAAGTCTCTGAACTCCAGGGACCTTCAAACAGTCATTGAGAGTAGCTCAGAAGAGGGAAAGACCTCAAATACCACTGGGGACAGCTCTATAGCACAGGTTTTGTCCTTGTTTCCATCTGGCCACAATCTCTGTTTTACTCCCAGCATGGGAAGCCCAGTGCTCAGTTTTCAGATTATGTGTAAGAGAATCAGCAACGTGGCCAAGCAAGGGACTAGATTTTCCCTTTCCCTTTTCCTGTTACAGCAACAGACAGCAGGACAGAGTACCAGCTGCTGTGCCGACATCCAGGGCAGAGAGATCAGGAAAGGGCACCTACCTGCAGCCTTCCAAAATCCCAAGAGCAGTGCTACTTGGAAACAAAGATGCCCCAGGACCCAGTCTTTCCACCCGTCAGCCCCAGTGGAGATGGACAGCCGCAAAGGACCAGAAACCCCAGAGGAGGGCACCATCAGCCCACAGAGCACAGATGAAGGGTGCGTCTCTGACTCAGTTCTGGCTTTCGAGCAGCCCCAAGGGCAGCACTAGATCATTAGCATTCAGTGGTGGCTCACTGCCCTCGGGTTCCTGCCTGCTGTCTGTCACAGCCCCAGCAGCTTCCCTCATACAGCAGCTCCCGTGGTCCCAGCACAAAGCCGGACCCCGATCCCACCCTAGGCTCTCAAATTAAACACCACCATGATGGAAGATGACTCTTCTCTCTTGAAATGCTACACAAATTAGAAGATGTGTGCTCCAGGCTTTGCTGTCCAGTGTACATCACAAATCCTGAGGTGCCCCCGCTCACCATTTGGAAGGGCAGCTGAGCGTGGGAGGGTCAGATTTGGCAATCTTCAGCAGGACTCGCATGGGGTTGAGCTCATGATGGGGCGGCTCAATCTGGGCCATTTCGATCAGCGTAATTCCCAGGGACCAGATGTCTGCTTTGTAGTCGTACGGAGTGTCCTTCATGGTCTCGCACATCACCACCTCCGGGGCCATCCTGCATGGGACAGAGCAAGGAGCAGGGATGATGCTACAGCTACTGCCACGCACAGGAGCCTCTTAGCAGAGATTAAAAACGCTTAAAATAATCTATCGCATGGCACACACACACAAAAAATGGCCTTTCTTCCCAGCTCTGGGCTTGGGAAGTAGCAGCAGCTTGTCTAAGGGTCATGGTCCTCTCTCTTCTGCAGAACAGCTGAGACAGCCCAGGCAACCCACGAAAACCCCCAGGCCATTGACATCTGGCACGGATGCTGCTTCAGACAATAAATTAATACTTGCAGTCTCCATTCCTTCAGCAAGTTGGGTGATTTAGAGGTTGCATTTCTGGAGCGAGAAGTTGTGCTCATGTGCTTGGAGCTGCTTCAAAGCACGCTCTACCACACAGGCAGAGGGGAGCAGCCAGAGCACACACGCGAGCACATGTGTGTACCTCACTCCTCTGAGCCTGCAGCACGACAGCACTGCGGGGCACTGTGACACCGTGCAGTGCTCCATACCACTGATGGTCCTCATGGCTCCCTTCAGGCAAGGGGAACCCTTGCACACACCAGTGATGGCCCAGACTCCCTGTTAAAATCCTTGGTATGACAATATGGACAAAAAACGCAAATGCCAACAGCTCCATGTTTCTGAGCAAGTCTCATTTTCAGAATAGTGAAGCCATCATGTGGCTCCTTACAAAGACAGGATTTCTACCTTGTCAGGTCACTCACCAGTAAGGGGTCCCAATGAAGGAGTCTCGCTTCTGCAAGGTTTTCACGTTTTTGGCAGACACACCAAAGTCAGCTGCAAAGAGCAGTAACATTAGATGCTGCAGGAGAACTGAAAGACCCTTCTGAATTAGCACACTTGGCTGAAACACAGATTTAAAAGCAAACACATTTAAAAGAAAGAACATGATACAACGTGCTGTTTCCACTACACTGAGCATCAGAAATTAAATTTGCTTTTGGGTACACAACCACCAGGGACCTCTCCCGCCCATGTACTATGTATGACATACACAGAACAAGTCACCCCTGCTGTAACCCAAACTTTACGTATTTAGAGGGAAGTTGAGATCTTTTCCACAAACACAAAAGCAGCTCCATGACAAATTTCTCTTAACGCTACTATTTCATAGCAGAGTCTCATTTTACTCCCCAAAAAACAAAGCGCTGTTGTACTCTTTGTCTCCCTTACAGTTCTGTACACAACAGCCACTGTATGACACCATTCCCTGACTCTGGCCCACAAACAGCTGCTGAAGCCAAGCCAAGCCAAGCCAACCCAGTCAGACTTGATCGAGGCACTGAACCCACCCCAGGTGCTTTTTCTCTCCATGATGGCAATGATGACATTCAGAGGAGCTGCTGTCCATCCACAGCTTGGGCCCCAAACATCCCTAACTGTAGGTCCCTGTTGGCTCAAGACAGCAGAGCACCTCTCATGCTAGAGCAAGTACATGGTCACAGGAAGGTCTCCAGGATCTTGGGCTGCCTACACATGCGTTCTCATTTAATGGGCCATCCCTGGGTCTCTACTGACAACCAGAGACACATTCCATGAGCACCCACAGCTGCTGCATCCTCCTGGGTCTAAAAGGGATCTGCACCTTTCCAACCAGGATCCAATGAAAAGGCTGCCTTCTCATCCTCCAGCAACTTGGACACCAATTTAACTCAGTCCTATACTGAATTGGCAAAGCCTCTCTTTGGCACAACTCACCCTGTCACCACCAGACCTGCTCTGGAGATAAGATGAATTCCTTCAGCTCCCAGCCCTGCCAACTGGCACCCTTTACAGGATGCTCAGCAGGCCAAAGTGCTTAGAAATCAACTTCAAAACATGATTAAACAAATTCATGAAAGGAAAATCCATCAAGTCTCTGGCTCGGGGTGAGTTGGGGGTCTCACTGCTCCATGCTACTTCCACAGATTAGCATAGAGCCCCTGCAGTGCTGCACCCTCCACCAAAAGGCACTGCACTCAGCTGGCTCTTGGGACACTCACTGTAGCCATTTTCTGATGCCAACACATGGGGTACACACAGGCTGGGACCCTGAGGAAGGAAGGCATTGACATCCTTCCTCATCTCCGTTCCCAGCAGCCCATCTGCGGGCACCATATTTGAGAGCTGACCACACACACCTGCTCAGGACCAGGCAGCGATGCTTCTCAACCACTTCCTTCCTAATGTAATCTTTAACCCCCTACCAGGTTACAGAAAACACCAGGTTTCTATCTGCAGCAGATACTGAGAGAACTCCTCAGCTAAGCACAACACACAGTTTGATGGTGGTTTTGCCCCACTGCATAACAGAAAGTTTTCCCCCATCTTTTCCTCCCTAAGCTCATCAGTCAGCAGAGAAGCAGGGCAACAAAATGTGCACACCATCCCAGTCCTGCTCCCATACATGCAGCTGATATAAGAGAGCATCCAGCAATCCCAATCATGTTACATCGAAACACAGCACCACAGCAGCTTCCCTATGCAGAACTAATAGAAGCAGCACCATGGCAGAGAGAGCACCCATACAGACCCTGTGCTCACCCAGCTTGATGTCCCCATCCTGTGTGAGGAGCACATTGCCGGCCTTCAGGTCCCGGTGGATGATTTTCTTGCTGTGAAGGTAGCGGAGAGCTTCCAGCATCTGGCGGCAAATCACTTGGATCTGGGGCTCGGTCAGGCCTCGGTCCAGCTCTGTGAGGGGAGAAAGGGCTGTTAAACAGGGCAGGGATTTGAGCTGTGCTCTCTCTGAGCCTCAGTAAGGCATGGACAATCCTGTCAGGCCATTTAAAAACCACTGTCCATGTGTCAAAGCAGCAGGAGACCAATGCAAATCAGCTTATTAGGGTAATTTGTTCTCAAAGCCAGCACTCAGCTTGGAGCTCCTGACCCATGGCTCCCTCCCAGGATGCGCAGCTGAGCTGCCTGGTCCGGGAGCAGTGGACGAAGGGGATGGGGAGGCAGATGAGGCTGCAGGGGCTGCTGCACGACAATGTTCCTGCATGAATGGAAAATAGATCCCTGTCTATTTGGGAACTGGGTCACTGCAGACAAGCTGGGTTTCACCTGGCATGGGAACACCAGAGAATGGTGCTGCAGGGAGCAAAGAGCTGAACTTAGCTGCAGGTGGCAGCAGGGCCAAATGCAAGCACAAACACTTCTTAGATCTGTGCACAGCCCTGATGTCAGTCCATTTCCCCAGAAGCTGTCCTCTATCACAGCAATGCAGTGTGCCCCTAACCACAGCATTGAGTAGAGGGACACTGCCATCCCAACGAGGGAATGATGAGCACTGGTCTAAGCTGTTTTTCTTACGGTAGCAGCAGCTCACACCACAGCATCTGTCCCTGCTTCTGGACAGGGGGACATGTGACTACTGGCACAACCACCCTACTAAGTTCTTCCTGATGGCCTTTGCCATCTGAGACCACTTTCCAAAGCAGCAGCTCTGCAAATCATCAGACCTCCAGATGGTTAGCATCGGCACAGCCTCGCTCCCTCTCTCTACAAGCCTGCTGCGATGCATGTTCCCCCCTCTGCACTACGGCTGGGTGCACAGCAGAGCACGCTGAAACCAGAGCAAGCCTGAGCCAGCTCCAGTCTGGCTGGGGTGGGGGCTGACGGGTGGACCCCAGAAACTGGCTTAGCCCTCTCCTTGGAGCATCTGGCAAAAGAAAAGCTTTAAACACTGCTGTGCGCAACAGTTTTGTGCAAATTTTGGAAATACAGAGAAAGCAAAGCTTTTGGAATTATCTGAGCTTCAAAAGGGAATAGTGCAAGTTGGCCTTGTAGAGGGGACGACACCTCTCTGGGTCCCTACAGCCCCGGGGTAGTTTTGGGGTACACTCACACGCTCCCAGTCCCAGTGGTACTATGCGGAAGGGAGGAATTAAAACCGGGAAGATTCCAGAAATTGCTGCAAACTGCAGTTTATTTGGATGCTTGGGCTGTTTTCCAGATGACTGATACCATAAGGAGAAGTCAGTGAGGAGACCCTGAGAGATCCACCACGACGAGCCCAGATGAAGTATCTCAGCCCTCTCAGGGAAGCTGTGGGAACCAGCACCCCTGCCCCAAGCAGATAAGTATTTAAAGCCCTTCAGTCAGACTGCCTTCTCCCACATGCCTTGTGATCTGCTGATCCCAGCAGCATTTAAATCACAAAAGGACATCAAAAGTAGCTTGGGAAACACCCAGAGGCTGCCACACCTCGTGCTCCAGGTAGGAAAATAGGCAAACTCATGGGAGAAAAGTAACAGCAGGAGAGCAGGGCTGCCTGCTGTCCTGGGGTGCACCTGATGTGCAGTTGGGACCCCCCCAGGGCCGGGCACTCACCCAGCATGGTGGCATCCACCGCCCCGCCTGGGCAAAACTCGATCATGATCTGGGGAAACAAAGAGAGAGGAATTACAGTCAGCTCTATGTGCCACCAAGACAAGCCTGTGGGGTAGGGGTGAAGAAAAACAAAGCGTTCATTTTGCCACTTCCTGCACAACAAAGCCGTCCGCTCACACCACGCAGGCACCTTCCCTGTGCCCTCATGGCAGTGCTGAGGCTCCAGCCCTCCCCAGGGCACATCCCCACCATGAACCACGGCCCCAGCCCTGCAGGCGGATCCCATGGCATCCCAGGAGCTGAGCACGGCCCCATCCTGCAGCTCACAGCCCCCAGCCCTACCTGCAGGCCTAGCCACAGCCGACGGCCTCAGCTCCGCTCCCCGTGTTTGTTTACATCTTTTTCCACTGCCTTTTGGAGCGAAGGCTGCTCCAGAGACGCGGCCTTGCCAACAGGATGAGATAGCTGTCATAGCTGGGAGCTGACGTGGCAGGGAGAAATCAGGCAGGATTTTGTTTGGAAGGGATGGGAAGGGCTAGATGGGTCTTCCAACCTCCCATTACTCAGTAGTTCATTGCTCTCTTGACTTTGAGCAATTTGAGGGAAAAATATGTGAGCAAAGAGGTTGAGTGCATTTGCCAGATTGTTGCTGTTTGTCTCCCAGGGACACAAGCAGAACCCTGCCCATCTCTCACATTCCACTGCTGCCTTCCCCTCTTCGTCCCCCGCCTGCCCCAAGGGCTGCATCCACCAGGCATTAAACATGGCACAATGGGGATGCAAGTCCCACAGGGTGCAAGATACAGGACACAGGGCCACGTGCATAGTCCAGCACCACTAAACCTCAGCCCACAGATGCACAGCCTGCAGGGAGCACACAGCCCTTATCCCCTGCCTCTGCAGCCTTCTTCAGGGACAGTTCAGTGCTGACCCCAGCTCCTTGCTTACATTCAAGGCAGATGGGGCTGCTTAGATAAGCAAACAAAAAATTTCAAGCAGCCAGGGGTGAAGAAGGACAAGAGACACTTCACAGCCTAGTGCCCCAACAAGCTCTTCTACTCCTTGCTAGAGCAATGCAGGGTGACATGCCTGAGAGGCAATATGCCAGAGTTTACTCTGAGGACAAGGACTGAGCACACTGCAGGCAGTGTTTTCCAGCACAGCTCCCTGAGCTGAAACTGCCCTTCATGGGAAGTTCATGTTGCTCAGCGCTGCTCCATCCAACAGGAGGAGGTTCGATCTCCCTTTGCCCCATGGTCTGAGATCTGCAGCCACAACTGAGTTACAGCTCAGCCCTTCGTTCTGTGCTTCCTACACAAGGACACAATGTATGTTATTTCCTAACCCGGACCGTGGTGGAAGACATGGCTGCTTTGTCCTGGAGAGGGGACCCACAATGAGATGCAGCACACCTCTGAGTGTGCCGTGAGAATCGGCCTTGGTCCAAGAGTCAGAGGGGAGACAATGCTGGGAGAAACACAGACAGGTTGGGCAGTATTACACAAGCACAGTTGGAGGAAGCAGAGAAGAATAACCAGAGGCCAGGAGGGGGGGGGGGAAGTGTTTTGAGCAAGCTGGGGAAGCAGCAGATGGAGAGAAGCAATTGGGAAGACACTCAAAAGATTTGAAAATCAGGAGAACAAATCTGTGCTGACTCAGAGCTGAGCACAAGGCTGGCAGGGAGGAAGACAGTGGGCCAGCGGAGCCCTCACAGTAACAGGTGATGTTATCACACCTTTTCTTACTTGAGTTTGTACCATTAACTACAGCATCAGCACTTCACTATCAAAGGCAAAAGTTACATCCTGCCTCAGCATGGAGATCTCCACCATCATCCAAATGCAGCTCAGACCTGTAAGTGTGAGCATCACTTCTTCACGTCACTGACCGACCTGCCCACACAGATTAACCTGTCTCATCACTGAATCACATCTGTGGTTTTGCTCATCCCACATGAGCAATCCTTTCCTGCTGGAGCTAGGAGCCTTGGGAATCACCTGCCCAAAGATGGGGAGTTTCTGAGTTCAACCCTCAGTTTCAATCAGTAGAGACCTGATGAGAAGCCCTCCAGTGCCACCAGGCTCAGCTCTTGGCTCTGAGCAGTCTCAGAAATCCCCAAACTTCCAGCAGCCCAATTCAAATCAGCTGCTAATGCCGCATCCAGGTGACACGGGTGCTTATGTTGCAAATGCCCAACAAACAGCTTCACAGCTCTTTGCGCCTGGCATTTCCTGAAGCTTCCTCTGCAGAACCTCCAGCTTAAGGAACATATTTTGAATCTGGGAAGAAAGCAGAGGGCTTGGTGAGAGCCAAGCCTGGTGGGCACAATGCTGGGATCCCTGTCCCAGGTCACAGGCACTGCATGCACCACTGCACAGCTGGATGTGCTCCAGGGAGAGCTGCTCCATGGGGAAGGGCTGAGCATGACAGAGCCCACTCTGGTTCAGCGTGGGCTGTAGTGCATTTCTATTGGGTTTCATTCTGGTTCACAGGCTAGCAATGAGAATATTAGGGAAATACTACTTCTGAAATAGCATGAATGTCTGTGCTTATGCAGGCACAGCAGGCAGCAAGCCAGCCACTGGGAATATGGAAAATATATGAAATTTTAAAATACGCATTTTCAACAAGGGCAGAGATGCCAAATAATAATTACGGGTGTGGTTAGATAGTCTGAACATCCAAAAAACCCTAATGGGCTCATTTCAGCCCAGAAATCCTGACTTAAATAAATCCAACTCCCAATCCCATAGCTCATACACCACACGTACAAACCTTTCTTCCAGGAGCAGGGCCAGCTTTAAAAAAGTTTCACCATCAAGCCAGGTGGGAACACAGGCCTGGTGTCAGCAGCATGCAGCCTTCTCTGCATGCAAGCACTTGGGCTGGGGGCTGCAGGAGGCTGGGGGCTGCACCGGTGCCTATGTGGCTGGGAGCAGGCAGGGAAGCAGTCCAGGCACTGACCCCAGCATGGGCACCTCATTGGTCTGGCTGCAAAGAGGAGCTTGGAGGAGTGAAAAAAAAAAACACCAACAGAAGTCCTGCTGGCAAAGAGCCCATATAACAAGGAGGTGTACCCAAGGGCTGTGAGTTATGGGTTAATGCTTTGCTTGGGACTGTTGTTACATTCCTCGATTCACAGGCAGACAATACCTTTGTCTATGTGTCTCCAAGGCAGGGCTGAATCCATGACCTCACTATCAGCAGTGCTGATCTTGAGCTGCCCTTTGCCTCTCCACTCTGTGCCAAGCTGATGCCTGCTCCGTGCTCAGCTGCCCTCAGCTGATGGGTGAGGCTGGGCTTCTCAGCCTCAGCAGCCTCACACAGCCCAAACACAGTCCTGTGTACCTGTGAATCACACTGCAGCTCGATGTAGGCATCCATACAAGAGCTTGTAGCAGCTCTTTCAAAGTGTGCTGGGTGCACAGCCCCCTGCCCAGTGTCCTACAACCAGCTGCAGGGTCTCCAGCAAACAGCCTGGGACAAACATCCTGTCTGTAATGACTTCCTCCATGCAAGAAAGCCAGGGACTTCCACACTGCCTGCTCAGCCTGCCCACTGTGGAGGGGAAGTGGCAGCAGCACCAGCCCTCCCTCTGCTCCAAAGCAGTTTGTATATGAAATGAAAATGCCCCAAGTGCATTTATAAGCCCAAAGGCAGCTGCAATTACACCTCACAAACACGTGCAGATACTCACTGTTTTAGCTCCTGTCACTGAAAAAGGCAACACAGCAGCCCATCCCACGCAGCCAGAGCCCAGCAGCCCTCGCCGACAGCTCAGCCAAGGGATCCTCCTGCTTTGCAGCCCAATGGGACATGCGAGGGATGTGACAGGATGGATTTGGGCACCTAGCTCATAGACACAACAAACTGAAGTCTGAGTGCTAAGCTCAGCAATTACGGTGTTCCCCGGGAGAATAAATACATGTACATTTGTTGAAGCCACTGTGACTTGAATTACACACACTTAAAGACATTGCTGTCCTCCTGGGGACAACAGAGCTGCTCCTCTCGCCCAGGCAGGGCTGGTTCTGCCCTGGGTGCACGAACTCCAGGAACTTTCAACAGTGTGAGAAAAAGAATTAAAAAAAAAACAAAACAAAAAACAAAACAACAAAAACAAACCTTATCTCAAAAGGTATTTCACCAAACACCGGATAGTGGCCTGGGGTGGAACAGCTGATGTCCCTGAACTTATGCTGAGGTTTCTAACTGAAGCCCAATTAAGAGCACACGCCCTCAGCTCAGCCAACTTGTTACTCACCCAACTGGCATGTCACAGGGCAGAGGCCCGTGAACTGTTCCTTCTGCAACAGCACTGGAGAAAAGCCTCTTCCAGGCAGACAAAAAGAAAAGGAAGAAAAAAAAAAAAAAAAAAAAAAGCTGGGAAAGCTGTGGGCAGCTCGTGGAGGCAGCGGGGGCCCTGGGCAGGCTTTTCCCACCAGAACACTGGGCTGCACGAGGACACTGGGTTGCTCTGACCTGGAGGAGCACTCCGACACAGCGTGGTCACTCCTAATGCGCTGGGGCTCTTGCTGTGATGTCGCTTTTGCAGTGGCACATCGAGCAGCCTGACTGCCCCATAGCACCCCACCTCCCCTCACAGCCCTGTGTGCCAGCAGGCGTCCCCTGGATCCATCTGTCCCCAGTTCACACTGCTTGGCCATGAAACTGCTTCAAAACTTCAGCAATTTCCTCTCTCTATCTGCAGTGGAGGGTTTCATCTGGCTTGTACAGTCTGTTGCTGGGGAGCAGGTAACCCACAGCATCCTGTGCCTGCGCTGCCCCATCACCACATGCTGCTGTGGCTCTGCCATGCTGCTGGGGCTGCTCAGCTCTTCATCACCACAGCAGTGAGCTCTTGCACCCTCTTGCACAGCCGTCAGCTCTCCTGCCTTGTCCCACTATGGGGAAATTAGAAAAGCACATGTGGGAGAGTAAACTGTGCTCTGTTAAAGCAGAATGCTTTTCAGGTTGCCACATTCGCAGTGATCACAGCCTTACACCTTCTCCCCCCCCTCCCTCCAGGATGCAGAGCAGGCTCAGAGCTCCCACAGGGATGTTGCAGTTCACAGCACTCATTTATATCCGTTTTCCGAGAGCCTTCTTGTGCAGTACCCTGTCTGTGTAGGGGGGAGAGGCACAAGGATGGGGAAGAGCAGATGCAGGTAATGCTGCACAGCAGCCTTCACTCAGCACAGGGCTTTGCTGGCATCACCCACCCACTTCCAGAAAAGCAGAAGAAACAGCAAATGGCAGCGGGTGGAGACAGACCAGGTCACTAGAAATCCTTCACATTCAGCAAAATAGCACAAGAGGGGAAGAAACAAAACAAAGACATGCACGAAAAAAAAAAAAAAAAGAAAAGAAAAAGTGCTAGTCAGAGACCCCAGTTGCCTCCAGGCACTCCTGGTGCTGCAAATGAGCTGAGCTGCCCAACACAAAGGATGGGTGAGGAGGATGGTGCAGGACTGTGAAAGGGCTTGCCATGAACAAAGCCCCAACGCTTCCAGCACTGTGCTGATCCCTGTTTCCTCCCAGCACATCTAGCTGACAGTCATGGTTCCCATGCTCGTGCAGAAGTCACAGGGTACACAGCCCTGCCCTTGTGCTGGGTCCAGCTGCCCTGGGAGAGAAGGAAGGGGCAGACACCCCACATCACAGAACTGCTTTTCAGCCTGCAGTGAGAGCTGGCTCCTCTCTTCTGCATGGGGACTGCCCAAAGAGGGAAGTCTGGGTCCTCTTCCCCTTCAGCAGGGGCACTCCTCAGCAGCATCACCTCGGGTTAAAACCACAAGGCTGCATTTCAACAGACCACTGCATTAAGCAACAGCCTCTGCAGCTGCAGAGCCTCCCACCCTTGCTGCCAGATCCTGCTCAGCAGGACACAGGCTGGGGACACACATGAGGTCGGTGTCTGCAGAACCCCTAGCCCTGTTCAGCTGGCCAAGTGCTGCACCACAACAGTGAAGGAAGGCTTCAGCCCTGAAACCTGGCACCACCCTTCCACCCTCAGAAAGGACATCGCAGCCTCCAACAACTTCCTTTCCCTTCTCCAGCCCTGCAGAGTAAACATATAGGCGAGACCTTGTCCCACCCAGCCATGCATTGGAGCCCACCTGGGGAACAGAGCCCCCTGTGAGCCACTCAGACCTCCAAAAACAGTTCCTGGTTTCAGAGTGGGACAGAGACTCCCTTCAGTGAATCCAACTTGGGTTTCCCAGAGTCTCCCCATGCCATCAGCACTGGCACTGCTTCACCCTCCACAACGAATGACTCTCCTGGCATGACGGTGGTGGAGAGCAGCAGAATGGACAGACAGAGGAAGTCTAGACTGCTTCCTCCTGTGACAGCCTCAAGGAGCCTGTCCTCCTGGCACCTGGATGAGATGGGCTCTTCCCCAGCCCTCCAGTAGCAGGGCAAGCAGAGGGCCCAGACAGTCTCCAGGGCTTTTGGTCTCAACTCAGCAGCAGGATGGAGCAATCTAGGAAGGCATCACCCTGCTGCCCCCAGGGCTGCTTCCAAAGGACTAGAATGCTTCCTGTTTCTGTTACCCATGACAATCATTCATTGGGTCCTGAATTCTAACTTTCTGAGCCATCCTACACTGCCACTCACCTCATAACACACTGCAGGGAAAACTAAGAATGGAGGTAAGAGAATGTTGTGTTCTCACACTGCACAAACCGCAGCACCAAGAGGACACCAGTGGGGTCAGAAGCATCTGGATGGGGACCAAGATCTGCAGGAAACGTGGAGGGGACAAGCTTGGTCCAGACACACTTGTAGCAGCAAATACAGGATGAAGCAAGAAGAACATCAGTGGTCACCTGCCTGAAAGCCACCCAGAGAAATGACAGATAAAGACCTCAGGAAAACAAAGGCTCTGACCATGGCGCAGCCAGCCAGGACACAAGGGCAGCCTGCTTCTGTCCCCAGTGCCAGCACTACCTCCACCTGCAGCATGCAGAGAGCAGGCCTCCAGCTCATCGTTCAGGGCAGACTGGCAGCAGGTGAACCTCATCAGTGCCATGCTGACACAGGTCACAGCACACAGTGCCCTGTCACTGGCTCCAGGGCAAGCAGTGATCCCTGGTGCCTCTCAGTGCACCAGAGCAGGGTGGAGGTCACCCTTATCACTGCGCCATCCACTGCTCCTCCAGCTGATGCACCCCCTGATCGGCTGAGCCCATCCACATGGCTGCAGCAAAAGCTTGGGATGAACACAGACCTCCGAGTACGAATAAGGAGCTTGAGCTGCAACCAACACAAACCCCACAGGACAGAGCTGTGCTCCATCGATGGAAAGAACAAAGTGATATATTTAGGCACAGAAACCACATTTAGACTCTGTCAAGGGGCACGTCCTTTCCTCCGTCTGGTTGACATCTGAACCCAAGTTCTGCTGGTTAACACTGCAGTTATGCAGATCTGCTGGCTGGAAGAGGGGACAAGGGCAGGGAGCCAGGCAGCACTGTGGTGGAGTCCTGCACACAGTCTGCCTCTTCCCACTGCACAGGGGGATGTGTGGTTTTTAAACACTGTTTGGTCTCATCTATCCCCATCTCCTTTACATCACAGCTTTGTTTACGATCACACTGAGGATCCTGCTGTTGCAGCCAGCCTGAAGCCCCAGGCTCCAGCTTCAACTGCAAAGTGAGCAAGGCAGTGGGCCACGTCACTTTGCCTGCTTAACGCAGTGCCTTCCCCCCACCCTCCTGGGTGGCTTAACCCAGGCTTAATGCCTCACACATGCCAAAGGGCCGTATGAAAGAGGGGAACAGCACCTAGGGTTGCTCACGAGCTATGCTCAGTAGCCATGGGTGGACGAGTGCCCACGGAAGCCCAGCATCACACTACCCTGCATATCACGTGCTGGCTGTGCCATCGAACAATCCACCGCTGCCACAGAGGAGAATAAATGTCAGCAGCTTGCCTGACACAGCAAGTATGCTGTAGGTGGAAGTGAAATAATTAGCTCTCTGTAAGAGAGTGCTCTGAGCGTGCCAATTTTCCCTATAGACAAGGACACCATTCAGAGGCTTTAAATATAATAAATCTTTTTTTCCCTCCTCTCTTCTGAATAAAATAACCTACAGAAAAAATATTTAAAAATATTTGAAATTTAAAAAGTCTGTCTTTATAGGCAAAAAGGGAAAGAGGCAGGGCAGTAAGTAAGGAAAGCAAGTCCTATGGAGTTACCAAGAGCAAAGTCATAGAGCTCAGCATACTCCTCCCGAGCACAGAGCTTCCTGCTGATTGCACAGAGACTGCAGATGGGTTCTGTCACAGCTACATCACTCTGAGATGACCAACTATTTACCTGAACTAACACTCACTCCCTGGCTAGCAGAAACATCTCCACTGCCACTGAAATTCCAATAGAGCAAGTCAGAACTACGTTTAGGATAACCACAGAGTTCTGACATTGCAAAGAGCATCCTTCCCCTTGCTGACACCACACAGAATATTTCATTTCTTTCAATAAAGCAATAGGCAATCCCATTGAATTCACAGTTCCTGACTTTGCTCTCCCTGGCTATAGGAACAAGAAAAACACACCGAGGTGATGGCTGTCTGCCCAGGCACAGAGCAGTGGGGCTGAGATCCCCTTCTCCCATCAACTCAATTGGCATTTTCAGTTCAACTTGCTCACCAACAGCATTTAGCACTGGGTGGGCTGCAAAAAGCACAGAATCTTTTAAAATACAAATAGCTAAAATGAGCAGTGAGCTAAAATGATCTTTTGGCAACAAGCAGTATTTCACTCAGCCCATCCCTAGGATGACAGCAGAAGAGGCCCAGATCCATCACACAGGACGAGCTATTGCTGTGTCAAATTCAGACTTTGAAGTCAATGGAAACCACTGGAGGCCACAAGGTCTGCAGAGCGACATCCCCCTCTCACAGATAACAACTTTCAGACTATATCTGATGAAAAAAAAGATGTCTAAAGCTGCAGTCTGTCACTCTTTCTGGGCATAGCTGTGCTTCAAGGCACTGTCTCCTATACACAGGTAGTTCATAAATATTCATTTAAATGCAAACACAGTTGCTTAGCATTTCCCTTGGTAAGCCAGCCCAATGGGAATGTGGCTCATTGAGATTCATTCCTAAACAAAGTTATAAAAAGCTTTGAAAGTGAATTTGCCTACAGGCTTGTTGTCTGCTGCTTTCTTTTCATAAAACCAAGCCTTATGGTTAGAGCCCCAGACTGGGATCCAGCACGCAGGACTCATTCCCAGGTATCATTTACCTGTGGGTAAACTTTAGGCAAATTCCTGTCTGTGCCCCATCTCTCTCTTTTAATAACCAGAATAATGACACTTAGTCTCTTTTATGAAAGCATTCCATAGCATATAGGACAAAGGGATGTAATCACAAGGCATTATTGGTTTCACTAACCTTTTCTTGCCACGTTATCCTCTACAGAGGATGATACACAAAGGCTTCTTTTCTAGTTTGTGTTGTCATGTTGCTACCTGTAGAAGTGCTCTTGAACTTGGCTTTGCTACGGTCATATGTCTGCTGTGTAAGTCATCCCTAAAGTGCTTTATCAAAATCATTTCAAGTCAATCCTTGCATTAAAGGAAAGCCTCAGTTTTACCCAGAACAGGATTTCCAGAGAGCTGCCAGCAGCTCAAAAGCTCCAGCTCTCATTCGCAGTGTGTTGACCCCATGGCTGTGCACAGCACCGCCTGGCTCAGAGCAGGGAGGGGGACAGGAGGGAACTCAGAACTCCACATCTTTAGGAAAGGCTGCTCACCCTGCAACACAGCCCTGCTTCCCTGTGGGCTGTAACCACCCTCCCGTTAGGAAAGCCTTAAGGAACCCAATACTGCTATCAGCTTTCTTTTGTGTTTGTTTTTAAGAAAAGGTACTTCAACTTAAGAGACTTGCAAGTTGGAGACGCTTTCCCTTTCCGTAGCCCAGCAGTTTAGTGCATGGGATAATGAGCATCTATTCACGATACAGGATTTTCAAGAATGCCCAAGTCAACATCCATATCAAAGGGGGAACAATCCAAAAAGTCCCTGGATGAACAGGTCAGGACCTGCCCACAGAAAATGCAAAATGCCTTCCTACCAGAAGTACAAAGACTGGCTACAAAGCTGTTGCCCGACTGCAAGCTACATACCCCCACAGAGGGCCAGCAAGGAGAAATTCTGAGCTGACTGAATTAACCATCCCCAGAACACCCTGGCGAGGCAGGGTTACCTGCATGGTATAGCCATTTTTGCTTTGATCTCCAGGAAACATCTGTTTATTCAAAAGTCCGTTTGCTATAGCAACGACAGTTTATAGAAAAGGAGTGGGGATGAAGAAAGAATTCCCCCGTGCTTCATTAGAAAAGCTATACAGCCACTGGAGGAGTCATATATTAAATGCCAAATGACACTATTTTCCATAGTGTCCCCCTGCAGTCTGGGTGTTGGAGCATCCCGACAGGTTCTGCAGCAGAGATGCTGCTGGTGGAGGCACCACGGAGCCCTGGGAGCACAGATCGCCTCACCCAACCAAGAGAGACCCCCTTCCCCATCTCCTCTTGCTCCTGTCTGCACGAGGAGGCACTCGGAAGCAGCAGAGATGCTCAGAAGCAGATCAAAGGGCCCTTCCTTCCTCTGAGGTCTCAGCCTGCGTTCTTGTGGAAAGAAAGAAACAAACCAACATAACAAAGAAACCCAAACTCTCAAGAGGGACAGAACACGCAAGGTTTGTTGTTTTCCTTTCCCATGTACGAAATATTATCAGCACAAATTCAGTACCATTAATTCCACGTGCTCAAAACCCACACCTTAGTCCCATTTTGCAATGACAAAACGATGTTAAAAAAACCTTGTTTTGAAGTTGCACACAAGTTGGGTGGGGGGTGTCTGCCTTTGTGTTTCTAATTTCTACAACACACTTCACACACACAGTGTGACACAGCCACAAGGACTTCAACCAGACTTTTTTTTTCCTTTTTCTTTAATAGCTTGAGATTCTCAGCTTTCATTCGGTGCCCCCATTTCCAGCAGCTGGGATTTATGCAAAAGAACATCAAATGCCACAGGGCTTATAATAAAAATAAAATAAAATCACGAGAGCTCCCAGCACTGCAGTTTTGCAAGTCTCACTGGGCTGTTCTCAGCCAGCAAAGGGCTGCTCAGCCTCTGCCATGAGCACAGAACAGACGGTGGGGGAGGAAGGGGACAGAACAGCACCCAGTGGCCGAGGGCACCGCATCCCTGCGAAGGGTTTATATGCTGGAATGAGTTTCATGCTGGATGCTGTTATGTCGCCAGTCATATCTCTGGGGAATTATCGAATCCCTCCAGGCACAGCCTGTTTTTTGCACTGGGGTTCTGCTCATTCAGGATGGTATAGATCAGGTCAAAAAACAAGAGGAATTTGCTGGTTTGTGCCTTCATTTCTGCACTGTGTTTACATGAAGCTGTGCCGAGCTATGCCACTGCCCTTCACACAGGAAGGTTCTTGCCCCACAAAAACTGAACATCCCCTTCTGTTACCCACAGCACACCAACCCCAAGCAGTCGCCTAGCAGAGAGAACTTCTGGGGTCCAGGCAGCCCCAAAAGGCCAGGTTTCCTCTCATATTTTCCATGTTAACTCAAAACTCACGAGTCAGACAGCAGTCAACAGACTGATGAAGCAAGAGCACCTCTCAGGACTGTCAGCTGAGACCGCCTGTGGCACAGATCAAGTCATAAATTATTCAGACCAAGGCACTCCTGCCATCTGGGAGGCTGGGCACATCTGGAGCTTTGGCAGCCAGGGTGTGCCACAGCTCCTGCCCCTTCCCAAACACTGCCCTCCCTGCACAGCAAACCATAGGACACCACCCTTTGTGCCATGGGAAGCCTAAACTACAGCAGGGTCTGCACACCCATCCTGCAAAAGGAACATTGCAAATGGTCCAGGAAAGCATTGCTCAAGTGACTGCACAGATGGAAATCACAGTGGGATGGAGAAGGCCAGATGAGGAGACGTTTATATATGGCTGCAGAATTTCCCCCACGGTGCTGGTGACCGAGAAGCAAAAACCTCTGACTTCAGAGTAAGCCTGAGAGCAACTAAAAACCTTCCAGCAGGCCAACAGGCCGATGTATTTACTTCCCCTAAAGCCAGAAAAACACTAGAACATTAATAGGAACAGCCTGAGCACTGAAATGGAAATGCCACTCAAATAATTAAATAAAGAGAACGATCCTCTCTCCAAAACAATGGCCAGGGCTGTCACATCTGCCCTCACGGGACAGCCTCATACAGGAGGCTCTTGTTCCATTAGATTCAAAGAGGCTGTTTAATTTTAGTAGGTCGGCAAGCATATGACATTACAAAGCACTTCGTAGACAAAAGCGGAGCAGAGATCTGCAATCCATTTTCCCTTCAGGAAGGAAGGCAAAGCTTCCTATTGCAGGAAGGAGGTGGAAGGGAAAGGGGAGGGGGCTGACATTTCAGTGAGCCGGCGAGGCCAGCGTGTGCAAGACAGGCAGATCGGGGAGGGAAAAGCAGAACTCAGTGCAATATAAGCCTGCAACACCTCTCACCTCAGCTCGTTATACATTTGCTTGTTTCGTTTTGCCAGGATTTATTTGGCTTCAATTGCAATCTTGTCCAAATCCTGAGTCTCCTCCTAGGAAAGATGTTTGCCTTTCACTTCCTTAGAACAGCACATATTTACTTTTGTTCTCTAACATGCCCAGCATCTCAGCACCATGATTAGCAGCCATCTAAATACAGGGTCTTCTGACAACGTGTAAGCCTTCTCCCTCGAAGCAAGGAAACACACAGAAGGAAGTGCAACAGCATTTCTGCAGCATTGCTTAACTGAGGAACAAAAGTATGAGCTGTGTTATTCCAGTGGCAGATCTGCAGCTCAGCCTGGGCTCTGCCCTCGGCAGGCAGGACAAGCAGCGAGCTATAGCTCATGACCTGGGAAGGTGCCTTCCATGCCAATCTTCCTCTGGCACTAAGGAATTAATAGAGAATTAGGAGTCGGGGAGGAGAGGGTGGGTAGGAACCAGCTGGGCTAAAGGAAAGCGATGCAGGAAGTTGCTGTTCCAGGCCTCGCACCAGCCTGCTG